ACAAAGGAACTGCTGGTTGAGAAGGGCAGCAAGGGGCAAGCTATCGAAAGCCTCCATACACGCTTCATAGACTCTCTCTGAATATTTAATTTTACCTAGGAAAAGAAAAAACGTAACATACGAAATGAATCCTTATTTTTTAAACAGATACTACTATTAGATTTTTTTTCTCTCTCCTCTGCCTTGTATTTTACCAATTTTTATAATGCAGTTTGTATTATACAGTTTCAATTATAAAAGGTAAATGTTTTAAATTAACACCAAAGCAAAGCCACGGAGATGGCTCAGTAGAATAAGCGCTTGCCCGGCAAGCGTAAAGTCCTGAGTTCAATCTCCAGCACTGAAAAGAAAAAAAAAAAAAAAAAAACAGCCAAAGCAAGAAAATTATGGAGACAGTAAATACATAAGTGGTGGTAAGGAGTTGAGAATGGGTAAAGCAATAACTACAAAAAAAGGATCGGGGGGGGATTTATGACAAAACTTCTCTGTATCACCACTATGATGACAAGCAAACTATACATTTGTCAAAATTCCTAAGAGTAAATTTTATTGTGTGTTTTTACTTTTTTTGGTACCAGGAATTTAACTCAGGACTTTGCACTTTCCAGGCAGGAACTATATTCCTTTTTTTTTTTTTTTTTTTTTTATTAGCAGAATATATTTATTGAGGGAAAGAAAGCCCCTGTCTGAGAGAGAGGGACAGGAGGGGGGCCCAAGCGGGTTGTTCCGCCCAGGAACTATATTCCTAACCCAACCTTGTACATTTATTTTTAAAAGGCAAGCTTCTAATATCACACAAATCAATTAAAAAAGTTATCCATTTTATGAATATTTGCTCTAAATTTATGTAGAACATGCTCCATATAGTCATAAAATATTGTTAAAAATAAGTAAGTCAGATCTTTAAAGACAAACCTTCACCTTTGCAGGCCAAATAAAGCACAATTAGAACTAAAGGCTCAAATAACTGTAATACTTTTACTTTATTCTGAGAGCCAATGATAATTATTATTATAGGAAAGACCATTACATCTTCACAACAAAATTCAAGGCCCATATATTTAAAAAAAAGATAAGAAAATATACATTGAAGGAGTTAGTAGGCTCTTCATGTCTAAAATGAGTTTTTAGGTCAGGTGTGGTGGTGCACAACCTATAATCCCAGCACTCAGGAGGCTACAAACTGAGTCTAAGGCCAGCCTGAACTCAATAGTGAGGCCCTGCCTCAAGAAGACAAAAACGAGGGCTGGGGAGATAGCTGAGTAGAATAAGCACTTGCCTGGCAAGCACAAGGTTCTAAGTTCAATCCCCAGTACCATGAGTATTTTCTTTATTTTTGCTCCGAATGCCTTCAGGGCAGGTTTGGCTGGCTGGAGTTGTGGGGATCGAACTACAGCAACCTGAGGCTGACAGCTTTGTGGAAGCAGCCACTTAAAGAAATGAGCTAGGGCTAGGCCCCCAACCATGAGTATTTTAAATGGGTAATGAAGCAGGAAACCAATATAGAAGCTCTACCAAATCAAATGATCATTTAATTTTCGGGAGATATGTACATTCTTTGTTCCATTATATTTTTACTCTTGGATATTTTGCTGTGGCAAGAATGGGAGGGAGGGTATGCTAATTACCTAAGGAAAAAAAGCTTAGTTCTCATTTCCTCTTAAGACCTCTTAAGATCTCTAGGTGGTACGCAGCTAATCCACAGGCTGTCAGAGCTGAGAGCCAGTTTTGGAAGGCTCCAGGAGTCTGTTTGGCAGTGTGTCTACATGTGGAGAAATGTAAACATATGTGGGATATGAAAGGGAGAGTCACCAGGAACGTTTTGGTTAGTATTATAATATTCAAATATTAAAAATCTATCTATACATATAGCAACCAGAGTTCCTAACCTGAGTTTACTGACAGATCTTTTTTCTAGTACCCAAGAATCTGATCCAGAAACCATCCTCACCCCCAAAAAATCTCAGGGCCAAAAAAAATCTGAGTATGTTGCCCTAAACAATACAGTATAACAACTATTTATATGGCATTAACATTATAGTAGGTATTATAGATAATCTAGAGTACATGGAAGCATATGCATATATTATATGCAAATGCTTTGAACATCTTCTGATTTTGGTAGTTACAGGGGGTGTAACACAGCTAAATCTCCACAGATACTATGATCCTATTTTAGAATTTTATGGCTTAATATAGTCATGAATATTAAGTTAACATGCAAGTTTAAAATGTGAAAAAATGCCAAACAGTATCTCAGAGATTATAATTGTTATAGTTATTTGAAAAGTGATAAACACTGTAGGTTAAGAATTTTGGACTATCATAACTTTCTATGATAGCACACTGTTTCCCAGATACAGCATGTACTTTGATCTTGCTCTCATCTTCTTTTTCTATTTACTCAGTCCAAACTCACTCCACAGAGCCAGTAACTGTTTTACATTCTTTTACAGGCACATGCCACCATCCCTGGACTCTGGTGGCCTCAGTCCACTCTGGGGGCAGGGCAGGCGGGGATGTAGTAGTCTGTTCAATTATCTCGCTGGCGCCCTCTTTTACACTCTTTTTTTTTTTTTTGGTGGAACCGGGGATTGAACTCAGATCCTGGCGTTTGCCCGTCAAGCGCTTATCCTACTGAGCCATCTCCCAGGCCCCTACATTCTTGAATAAACTTTGCCACTGCATTTTGCTCATTTCTTTCAATTCTTTGAAGTGAGAAGAATTTGGACTTCAACTCCAGAAGAAGAAGCAAGCAACACAGAACTTGGTAATGTTTAGTTGGCAAGCCACATTTTAGAAAAAAAGGTTCCAGAAGCCAGTGGTGGCACACACCTGTAAGCCCAGCACTCAAGAGGCCAAGCCAGGAGGACTGCTGCAAATTCAAGGCAAACCTGCGCTACAAAGTAAATTCAAGACCAGCCTGAACTTCACAGTGAGACCCTAGCTCAAAAAAAGAAACAAACGGGGCTGGGGAGATAGCTCAGTAGAATAATTGCTTGCCTGGCATGTGCAAGGTCCTAAATTCAATCCCTGGTACCGAGGAGGGAAAAAAAAAAAAAAAGAGAGAGAGAGAGAAAAAGAAACAAGCTACCTGATAACAATAGGGTTGCTGTTGTATGATACAATCAAGTTAATATTCAGAGTACAATGGAAACAGACCATCTACCTATGTAAGATCTAGTTTGTTGGAAGTTGTTTTGCCCAAGCATTCTGGTCCTGGCTGTGATTGACAGGACATGCCTATTTTGAATCAGGTTACATGGTTACATTTTGTTTTTAGCCTCTTGTCCAGATCTTAGTGATTGACAAATTATATCCTGACTCCCAGCCAGCCAGCCATACCCTAATCTACCTCATTACTGGGTAGCTTCTGACATTTCTTCAGTTACACCAATTATAATGAACTGCTTCTTGAACACAAACAGGTTTTTAATTAAGAAAGACAAGGCTTGATTAAATGACATACTTGGTAACTTGAGGAAAAAAATATTGCTTGGCATGGTGGTACATGCCTGTAATCTCACCAACCCAGGCTTAAGCAAAAAGACTGCCCTGAGTTTGAACCCCGCCTGGGTTACCTAGATGAAGGCCAGCCTGAACTCTCTAGCAAGAGTTTGTCTCACAAAGGAAAAAAAGAATTCCAATTCATGAACTGATCTGCAATGATCTTAAGAATAGGGAACAAAAATCTAAAATGCAACAATAACTTTTATAATTTTAACATCAAAATTATATACAACCCATAAAATTAAAAATTTTAAAATATATATAAAATACTGAACTATTACTATATAGATAGATAAATAGATAGATAGATATATATATAGATTTTTTTTCCCCCAGAACTGGGGATTGAACTCAGGCTATTGCTATATTTTTAAAAGTTCAACATAACAGGATATATTAAGATGAACATTTTTAAATTAAACACCAATAAAACCTAGACACTGCTTGATAATCTTCCTCAAATATGTGGACACAAAAGTTGTTATTGCATGCTACATTGTACAGTCTTCAGAATTTTTACCTACATCAGCCTATAACATAAAAATGAGAAATTGAAAATATTTCCCATGAAAGTACTCACATTCCTGCTTAAAGGTAAAATATTCAGTAAGGTGTCTGCATTCATGATTGCCTCTCAGAAGAAATAATGTGCTTGGGTATAGAATCTTCAAGACCCATAAATATAAGACACACTGCAAAAGAAAATGTTTCCAGTGAATTTATCTTGCATTTTTGTTTAATTTGTTTGATCTTTACTCCATTTCCTTTAACTCTATTCCCGTATGATCTCTACTATTCTTTATATCTTCATTGCTTACTAAAATACACAGTCCATGAAACCATAAACTATTACTTCTCTCCTGATTCTCCACACTTAAAAAAGTAGCCAAGGGGAGATGAGCAATTTGTTCAATTGATGAGTCAAATAATCTATTACTTTAGTTGTATATATTATTCAACACAAAAAACAATTAATGGTTTCCCCTTAGGTCCATTAGTAAATATAATAACATACAAAATAATAGCAACTAACATTTACAGCACTAATGATGGGTCAAACATTTTTTTTTCCTGTATTTAGGGCAGGGTCTGTAGGGTCTCACTATGTAAATCAGACTTGTAGTGATCCACCTGTTTACAGCCTCCCAAGTGCTGGGATTACAGATGCATGCCACCATACCTGGTCTCAATTTCTGTCTCAGCTTGCCCTGTAGGCAAGTGCCCCTAAACACTGTTTAATTTACCCCCCTCAAATGACATTTATTATCATCTCTATTTTACAAATAAGGGGCCAGTGAGATAGCTTAGGAGACTAAGTGCCTGCTAGGCAAGTGTAGGAACCAGAGTTCAATCCCTGGTATTGCATGCCATGCCAGCCCTGCTCCCAGGCATGCTGAGCCAGTGACTGAGACCAGGCATGGTGGCACATGCCTGTATTCTCAGAACTAGGGAGGCTGCAAAGAGGAGAATCACTACGAGTCTGAGCTGTGCAGTGAGGCCCTATGCAAAATATATAAATTTTTAAACAAAATTCTACAAATAAGAAAACTAAAGCAATAAGTTTAAGTAACTTGTCAAAAATCACAGCATTCCTAAATAATAGGAGGATTATGGTCCCTTAATCTTAAGCATTATGCAATGCTACTTAACAAAGGGAAGGCCCAACTTTTATGTCTGTTTTATTGATCATACATGTTGTCTTATATAAGGAAGAAGTTTATGATCTAACCTAATTCAAAGCAAATGCAATTTTATAACAAAAGGAGTTTAAAACAAAAACAATAAGCATTTCTCTAAATAGATATATCATAAGAAAAAGCCTAAATTTACTTACTTGGTTTTAAAAAAAGAGGACTATTTTAAATGTAAAGAAACATGGTTTATATTATCATATACAAAAATATTATATTCTTAAAGTTTAAGGTATTTTTAAAAGTTTAAGAATTAAAATGTCTATTCACATCTTCATTTTATTAAGTAAAAAAGTAGTAAAACCATGGAAATAGGTAATGAATTCAACATGAATTTGCTGCTTTTGTCATTTTCCTTTTATACTTAAGTGTATTAAATGAGTCAGTGAAAAAACTTTATACAAGTATGTCTACATCAACACGCTTAGGTACCAACTAAAATTGTTATTTTTTTAACTAAATCACCCAAAACATATTGTTAGGAAGAGCCATTTTCTAATTATCTTAAAGCCCTGAAGTAATTCTGACAAAGTTAAAAGGCTGGGTATAAAACTATGAATGAGAGGAAGAAAATTCACAATAATAAAATTTGTAAGGGAAACGGGGGGCAGAGTCCAAAACTCCCTTTGACACTGGGAACACCTCAAAAAGTATATTGAAAACACTGAAATGAAAATTCAAAGTAAAGCTTTAATATCTATTAAGAGACATTATTAACAGCACAAACTTAGTGAGACTCTTAGTGACACCCTTTATTACTGTGCCATTTATTAATAATGTGACTTTGGGTAAGTTACTTAGCCTTTCTAAGCCTCAAGTTTCTAATCTATAAAATGGATAAAATAACACTACTTTTCCATAACAACATTGTGAAGATTAAATTAGTATCTGTTAAGTGCTTAGAGATTGCTAAGAACATATTAAATACATAACAAAATTATCGATCAGTACAGCTTTGTCCCAGTAGTTCTCCTCTAGAATCTGCTCTACAGAAATAGCAGGGTGAATATGCAGAGATGAATTAATCAAATGGCTCACCAAGGCATCATTTATAATGGCAAAAAATCTAGGAATATCTTAAGGGACTCTCAATAAGAAACTGTGATGTTTATTCAATGAAGGACAATGCAGTATTAAGATGAAGGTGTAGATTTGTACTTACTAATTTGGAAAGACACAATGTAAAGATCTATGAAGAAAACAAGTAGGGGCCAGGGAGATAGCTCAGTAGAATAAGTGCTTGCCCAGCAAGCACAAGGACCTGAGTTCAATCCCCAGTACCGCAAAAAAAAAGAAAGAAAAGAAAGAAAGAAAAGAAAAAGCAAGCAAATAACAGAATAATGTTATGATATAGTTCTGCTTTCATTTCAAAAAAAAAGATGCATATATTAAAAAATATAGGTTGTTCAGTATTTGCCACATTTTACGTGAGCAGAAAGAATCATCTTGTTAAACGTTAACCAACAAGTCATTTTAATGCCTCTTAAGCTTTTAAAAACTTCAAAATACACAATAATTCTGTATGATATAATTAGAATACACAAAGATTTTATATGGCATAGCTGGGTCTTAATTAAACAATAAAAGAATCATTAGATGCTTTAAATAATCAGAATTTAAACTTTTTCATATAATTTAATGTCTTTAGGGACAAGAAAGATATATAAATAAACAACGTATCTTCCTTTTTAAAAAATTATTTATTTTTTTAGGCTGTCTCACTACGCAGTCCAGGCTGGCCCTGAACTTTTATTGTAGCCCTGACTGACCTTGAATTCTAGGCAATCCCACCTCAGCCTCCACAGTGCTGGAATTATAGGTATGCACCACCACACCAGCTACAATTTTTTTTTTTTTTTTTTTTTTTTAATCTTTTTGAGACTAGGGTCTCGCTATGCAGCTCAGGATGGCCTTTAGCTCACTTTGTAGCCCAGGCTGGTCTCAAACTCACAACGATGCTCCTGCCTCAGCCTCTTGAATGCTGGGATTATAGGTGTGTACCACGATGCCTGGCTTGTTCTTAAACCTATAACAGGGCAATAAAGACTTCTTAGGGGGCGGGGAGATGGCTCAGTAGAATTAAGCACTTCCCTGGCAAGCGCAAGGGTCTGAGTTCAATCCCTGGTTCCGCAAAAAAAAAAAAAAAGACTTCTCAGTTTGCTCATAACTTCCAATGGGAAAAATGGCAGTTAATAGTTATGCAGATTAATACAAAAGAAATTAAATGGTCTTAAGAAAGAACAACTCTAGATTTAGAATATGCAGAAGTATTTTTTTTTTTTTTTTTTTTGTGTGTGGCCAGCTCAGCCCACCTAGGGGTGGGACTGGCTGGCATGTGGTACTGGGGATCGAACCGCGGTCCCTGTGTTTTGCCAAGCTTGTTCCAAGTAGGTGCTCTAGACCACTGAGCCATCTCACCAGCCCAATGCAGAAGTATTAAGAACTAAACACAGGTATTTTTAGAAAGTACATAGGTATTTACACTAGGAAGTAACAGAAATAATCCATGTAACACTTAACAAATCAAATGACAGTATATGATTATTACCTCTATACTAAAATAACCTCTGTCCACATAATCACCAAGAAAAAGGTATCGTGTATTAGCAGGTGATCCTCCTACTTCAAAAAGTTTCATCAGATCAAAAAATTGGCCATGGATGTCACCACACACTGAAACAAGAAAATTATTAGATACGAAAATAAACTCTTTTGAAATAACAAATTAATACTTAAATTCCAATTTCTTTTATATAAGAGATAGTGTAAATGCTATCAAGTAATGACTGGGAAGGAAGTGGTCTCTGCAGAGTCATATGAATTATGTGTAACCAAATATTTATTTGCCCAAGATGTAGAACAAGATAAAACAGATACAATAAAATTTGAGGCCAGTGACAAATTTTTCTTTTTTGGTTTTAAGAGACAAGGTCTATTTAGCTCAGGCTGGCCTTGAATTCATATGTAGTGCAAGGTGGCCTGTAATTCATGGTACTCTTTGTCTCAGCCTCCCAAGTGGTAAGGCTATAAGCCACGATGCCTAGCCAGTGACAAATCTTACTGTCTGTCGTCTATCTATTTTTTTCTTTGTTTTGAGACAGGGTCTCAAGATACAGTTCAGGCTGGCCTTGAGCTCACTTTGTAGCCTAGGCTAGCCTTGAACTCGCAACAATCCTCTTGCCTCAGCCTCCCAAGTGCTGGGATTACAGAGGTGCACTGCTATGCCTGCCTACAAAATTTTCACCTAAATTTATAAAGCTCCTTTTTTTAGGAGTAAGAATATGTTTACATCAAAGCATGACAAAACTATAACCATGGCACTAAAGTCTCCATTCTAATTCAACACTCGTTAATGTCTAAATGATCGCCTTTGAGATCTGATACATCAAAATATGTTTCTAATGCGTGAGAGCAAAGGAAATGTTCAAATTGAATTGTTAATACAAACAGGTAAAAACTTTTAAACATACAGAAAATAATTTGCAAATCAAGATACTGATTTTGGTCTTGTTTTTGTTTTTATTTTTGTGGTACTGGGGATCAAACGCAGGACCTTGTACTTGCCAGGCAGGCACTTATGCCGCTGAGCTGTCTCCCCGGCCCCAAGATATTGTGCATGTAAAATTAATTTGGTATATCACATGACTGAAAAACAACAGCGTTGTATTGAGGCAACTAAATAATGGTACACAATAAAAATAACATCTAAAACATACAGTTTACCTGTAATTGGAGCTTCTACTTCTATCATAGTTTTCTCTCTCCGAAGAATGGCAGCACCCTCATTGATAATTCTAAGTGCAATTTCTTCATCAACC